AGGAATGCCACAGAACTGGTTTCTCTCTCTTACATGGGTTGCCAGGTGAGTGGACTAGGGTGTGTGTAGAGGAAGGTTTCTGTCAGCTCCTTTGGGTGAAGTCATATGGCTGAGCCAGCCAGTCAAGCAGTGTGGGCAGTATGACGTACAGAGCATCCATAGCAGTTGACTACCTTTCTTGAGAACTGGAGCAACTGAAAAGCAGCTGCTTATCACCCTTATTTACTGACAGGACTATAGACTCCTGTAGCATAATAGTTGAAGTCACTCTTAATCCTGCAGCACCTACTCTTAGAGCATCAAAATGCATTTCTTAGTGGTTTAGTAGATACCTATGAGAAAAACTTAATTGAGAATTTAAACATTTTAAATTTACAAATATAGCTAAGACTTCACTGCATTTGGAGAGGAAACTTCCTTACTGGGGAGACTCTTTTGTAACGGGATTGGGAAATATGCATCATGCTGTCCATGCTGAAAATCAAGTCAGAACATGGTTCCTTTAGATCTCTCCCATATGAGCTTTTTTATATTTTATAGTGGCTGTGGTTGTTTTCGTGTCATCTTTTATTTTTATATTTTGGTGGGTTTTGCTCAGGAAATTCACATCATCCATTGACTATAAAGAAAATTCACCACTTGCGGTTCATTTACAGCATTAGCTACCAAAGTGTTTTTAAGAATTTTCTTCTGTGGTCATATCCAAATCTATCAGCTGTACACAACTGGTACTCTCTAAAATTTGATGACAACATGGTCACTTAAAAACAGAGTTGTTAGCCCACCCCTTAGTCTTCAAAACAGTGTCTAGCTTAAGGACACTGAAAGGGCACTTGTACAAAAAATGGATGAGGGTAAATACTTTCCACTCACCAGACTGCTGAAGCAACATTACTTACCATCTCCCTTCCAGTAGGGGAATTAGCATTTTGTATTCTTAACAGTCATATGTCATGGCATCTGTCTAACTGAAGATCCTGTACTCCTTTCCCAGTGTTTTGTTACGTTTGCCATCCCAAATCCTGTCTCCAATTCTGTCCAGGGAACCGCATATATATATATCCCTTTGTACTTGAAACTTATAACTATTGAAACTTTAATATTTGTCATTTTCTGTTACCATTTCACTCTTGGAAGAGTCATTTTGTCTTTTCTAAATATTGGGCCAGTTTCCAGGCTCATGTATATACCAGGAGTAATCAAGAATAACTTCAGGGAGTCATACTGATAAATTAAAACAGAATTTGGCCTGTTGCCATGAAAAAATAATTCTGCGTGCAAGTTACACTTCCAAATTTGGTATTTTCTAAAGCATTAAAGGTTATAAAAAAGGGTGTGTGGTAATGCCTGGCCAATTCTTTCTTACACGGAAGAGTGCCACAGCACAGTGTGGTTGTCTCCAGGCTTGCTGTGCAGGAAGGTTTTCTCACACACAAAACAATAAGGAACATAAGAGATGAAAAGCAGGCATTTCTGAAATACAAGTTTTCATGAGGATTTTTTTCTGGGAACACATCATGGTGGTGTTAAATAAGGTGAAGCATATTGTGTTGTTTAAAATAACTTTTATCAAATCAAGCAACCTTCATCATGTACTTCTGTCTCAGAGGTGACTCACCAGGGGATTATAGCAATTTTTCATCATGTGCAAGTAGGAATGACTTAACACCACTAACTTTAGTACATAAGTTAAGCTGGCAAGGAGTAGAATCAGAAGAACAAAACAGCATTTAGAGCTGGAAAACACCTACAAAATCACTTAAGTCCACTTAATCACTGCTGATGATGATTTGTTCTCTTAAGTACAGTTTCTGTTGCGTCTTTCAGTCTACGTAATGTTTAATTAAAGTTTAAGACTAAAAGACCATATGCTTCTTGAGGAATATTTTCTCAGTTCTGCACAAACTTGTCTTTGTGTTATACTGCCCACTTACTCTTACCTGAATTTCTTTTTCTACCCTAGATAATTAACCTTTTTAAAATATGCTTAAAATCTTTCCCCATTTTGAACTGTGTTATATACTGTTTAATTGAGAATTAGACAATAAACATTAGGTAGTCTCTGCATCTCATAGATTCCTACATACATGTTTTTTAACTCATTCCACTTTCACCATCTTTTCTTTTTCCTCTGAAACTGCATTGTTTCATAACATACTATTATTTACTGGTAAACTTGCTATCTTGAATGTTCCTTGGGCGTGTATTTCATTTGGTACCTTGTGTGGTGAAAACGATCTTCTCCAGATTCATTCCTGAGTTAAAAGAAAAGGGGGGAAAAGAAAAAAAAGAAAAAAAGGAGTAGTTGGCCTGCTCCTTCATGATTTTTAGTTCCAACAGATCCTTCAGTGTAATCTACAAGTCTTATGTGATCACATAGCTGCAGGCACTAGGATAAACGCACCGAACATCCCCTCAAAATTATGAAAAAATTGCAAGAGGTGATAGCACTGCAGTATCCTTCTCCTAGTCCCTTTTGCTACTTTATCCTCTTGTTAAAGCTTAATTCTTATTCACTGTTCTACCTTAAACAGTATTTCCTGATGAAAGTAGGTACTGCCAGCAGGTACTTCAGAGTACGTACAGCTTACAGTGTGTGTTGCGAGAATACTACTCCATGCTTTCTAATTCTGAATGAACG